GTTCATCTATGTTGTAGCACATGTCAGAATTTCCTTTCTTTTCAAGGCCAAATAACATTCTATGGTATGTACATACCACATTTTGTTCATCTATTCATTGGTAAGTGTGAAAAGCATGATTGTAACTTTATAGGCTCTTTAGTATAAAGTTCACAAAATCCATATAGCAAAGCACCCAAAGATAGCCAATGTCTTCAGAGTTATTTCTCACTTTCTCATGGTTATCAATAAGCCTTTATTGTAAGAGTTTCTAAAGTTAGCCTAGTATTACATTAAGAAAAAAGTGACTGGGCATGAACTCCTCAGTCCTTTTTTATTTGATTTAGATGATGTTGTAGCTTCAGTTTTCTCATTTGTAAAATGAAGGAATGAATCTTTCCTATTATTTTGTGAATGAGAGTATCCAGGAACGAGAGGGGGAAATGCCAGGTGCTTTCCAGTCCTCATCCATGACGTAAGCATAATTAATTCCATTTTTACAAATGAAGAAACCAAGTCTCAGAGTAATTAAGTAGCTTACCTTAGGTCATATACTAAGTTCAAGACATGGGATATATATGTCTTTCTGATTCTAAACTTCACACTCTCTTCCTTACATCTTGATACCTCTAATTAAAGGTATAATTAAGTAAAAAGAGGGGATGAAACATACTTAAAGAGTTCATTTAACTCTTTTGACTGAGTGCAGTACTGCTGACATCTGAAAAAATAAACCTTGTTTAAGTGGCTTAAATAGCCCCATGTTCCTGTGGCTATTTCAGCAAACAGCACTTTAATTCTTTCCAGAACTCTACGTTATACTGGTTTTACACCACTTCAACACAGTATCTCTGAAACTAAATATTTAAATTATTGGATGGTATTTCCACAACAGAAACCTACCACTGGGAACACAGAGAAAGTTAGCTTAATGTTAAATGTACTACTTAAAGTTAATATACTAGTTATTCACAAAGTCAGATTACATTTCTGACCTTACTAGCACAGATTTTTTTTAAAGGTTATCCTTGTCTTTACTTTTTCTGAAAGAAATTTCTAAAGCATAATATAATTTACATTAGTGTTTTAAAAATATAAAATATATTTTTAAGCAATGCAGGATTGTCCAAAGACTTCTCCTTTTAGGAAGTTAAGCAATATAGTTTCTTCTCATCCACAGTGAAGAAAATGAATCTATTCAATTTAGAATATCAACCTGTCTACACTTAGATCTGAAATGTTTATATTATTCATTTCTCCTTAAAAATATGTGAATTTAATGTCAAACAAGTAATCATTTGAAAGATAATCAAAGCCTAAGATAAATGCAGTAACGATGTTGTTCTTTTCTATATGTAGGCAAACCACAAATGTTTGGCAGAAGATACACATTTTCTGCATCTTTTGATTAAGAAGGCTCCAGTCCACAGTTACACGAGGATGGTGGACAAGCAATGAACATTTACTGAGCACCCTTATGCATAGCACTGGAACAGGCACTGTGTAAGATCAAAAAAGTTCACAAATAATTAAGTTTCAAAGATTTAAAAAATCTGTCTAAAAAGATATTTTCTCACAACCAAAAGCAAAAAATTAAAAATGGCTTTCTGCTAGGGAACAATTTTTTATATAAGCATTAGCTTTTGAGGTTAGAATAAATCAGATTTTTCTTCGGTTCACAGAGAATTCAATAGGTAACTACAATAAGGATATGACCATTTCTCTTTTGCAGATGTATCAGAGGTCTAATCATAGAAAATCGAAAATAGCAAGATATTTGGGAGACATGTTCCTACTCTCACACTGCCACAACCCATTTATCAGCATACTTCAAGGGCGTAAGAGTTTATTACCTCTATGGTAAAAATATTAAAATGATTAACTCACAGCTTTTCCCAGTAGTAGTATACAACTACCCAACACTGAATCCAATTTGCCTTGAATGCTGTCACTTAATACCCTTGATATTTAAAATGTTGCCAAAGATTCTGCATATCAATTCTTTTTCCTTCAGAAATGAATACAAAATTAAAACCATAGGTTGTTGGTTATAATTACCAACAGAAAATGAAAACAAAATTAAAACCATAGGTTGTTGGTTATAATTACCAAAACATATAAATGAGGGAAAATTGGAAAAAGAAATTTAAAAGATAATCAAATTATTGTTAATCTTTAAGATAAGTAAGATTGTGTTAAAGTTACCGCAGAAAACTAATTTGCTAATACACCTTTAGTATGAAAAATTTTTTACCACAAAGATCAATAGATCCTAAGTAGTGATTTACCACACAAAAGCTGATGTAACCTTAACTGAAGATACCTAACAACAGTGCCTTAACTCTTCAGAGGTGCAAACCTTCGAATTTGGCAGCACAGCCATACAATTAAGAAGATCGACTTCTCATGTTTGAGAGCCAAGGTAATATATGGTATTTAATGTCAAGCATTAATTTAAAAACAAGTTTTGGCCTTTATTTTTACTAATTAATGATCCACAGAAAAAGGGACTTTTGGGAAAAGTGAGGCCTTACACAAACTCCATTATGATAGAACAACCTTCAAAATATTCTTTCTGATGACTACCTCAGAGTTATCTCCTGTAAAGAGGGAACTTCAGGCTAAATTCTACAGCAGATTCGTGACTTGCAAACTACCATATTTGGTCAGAGAGTCTTTACACATAAAGAGAAATTGGGCTATGAGGATCACCAAGAAATGGTTACAATATAAGTTTAAATGTTTATCCAGTATTGTTTTGGTTTACAAGTTTTCTAAAAAATATCCCATGGTCAACACAAAACAGGGTGGGAGAGAATCAGGTAATCACTTTATGCAAAAAAAAAAGCTGTTAATCTGGTGCTTGTTCATATATACCTATGGACATCGAGTCCTTAGCTTGGATTTTCTTTCTTTGGGATCTAACTATGGAAAACTAATAAAACAAGGCAGTTATACATGAAGCACCCAAATGTTATACTGTCATGCCAAACCGCATTATGCAAGCTGGTTAAATTAGCACTTCTTTAATATCTGAGCTTTATCTCCAAGAGCGATTATGAAGTTTATACTCACTTATTCTATATACCTGAGAAGTCAGATGATGCCTGATTATATTGAAAACTACAAAGATAACTTTACTGGTAGCTCATGTCAGAACCTCAGCGTCTATAAAGATGCTCAAAGGTAGCGCTCATTTAAACCATTTTCTGAAGCCTGTGCTCAAAGGTCACTTGTTAAAACAATTACTGTGAAATAATGAGACCTTGAAAGTAGGCTTCACTTTAGCTTGAAAAATGCTCAATAAAAGACAATGACTCCTTTAAAATACTCTGGGCTGTAAAGTTTAGCTGGAAATACAATCAATAAAAGGAAATTACTTCTCTAAAGAACCTGCCCAGGCTGTAAAATTATGATATATTTGTGGAAAATCATGTCCCTTCATGTAGATAATACGCATAATTCACTTATTTCAATGTTCAGTAGACCACTTTTATAATTCCACTAAATTACCATTTAATCCAGATTAAGTACCTGTAAACTAGTAGAACACTGTGACCAAAATGCCAAAAAGCACAGAGCTGACAGACTAACTACCCAAATATACAACTTAATGCCAATGAATTGACTTAATTAACTGTAAGCTGTTATAAGACTGAAACAGCAAGAAGTGTACCACAACATAGCAATACCTCAATTTTAATTGCAATTTGAGTTAATTTGTATTAAAGCTGCATGTGAAATTTAAATGCAACCAATAAATATGAATCAATCATAGATTTAAATTTTGTTAATGTAAACTGAGGTCTACAATGAACGATCTTAAAGAACTTTCTCCCCTATTTTCAGGTTTTATAAACTCTACTTAAAAGCCTTCAATACATATTAAAATAATCCAATACGCACTTGAAAGAAGGGCAACAGGTCCTTCGTTTAAAAGAGTTGACTGTGCACTTTCTTAGCACCTAAGCCTTTTTCTTCAACTACTTTTCAAACATCAGTTTAATGTGACACAATTGAACTCATTTTTTTCCTTCCTAAACAAAGCAGCTGGAAAAACGCGCGCGCCCACATACACTCATGACTTACTACCCCAGTTACCTGTATGTAAATATAGGTGTTTATTTGAATGAAAACATCAAATGAATTGCGACACCCTGTCTCTGATAATTTTCTCAACCGTTAAAAATGACAGACGCCAAAAGGTCTCTAATTAAAGTGGGAACATGATTTTCAACTAACGGAACACTAGTAGCATAATCACTTAACAGTCTCCTAGGGCATTTGCTTCCAAGACTGAGGAATCCGAAGTAACCAAAGCATGGAGATGCCTGTAAAAGCAGGTGCAGATGGTAACAGCCTTAATATTATAAGAGTAGGGACCAAATTAATACCGAGCAATAGACGGCGAACTCCTGGAAGTCTGGGATTATCCTCTTTGACTCAACACCTAAACCCCAGAAGGTTGCTGAGAATCAAGACATAGCGAAATACTGGGATCAGATACGTAAAGGAGATGTAGAGAGTGGCATGCAGAGGGCACTTTAATTTCAGGCAAGGAAAATAAGGCAGACCAACACGAGATGACAGGCCGACAGCCTCAGTCACAGACACAGGACCAGCAGGCAATGGGAGAAACTGAGGCAGAGGGGGCGGCCAGATTTCCAAATAGGACCTGGCCCAAATCATGAACGCCAAGAGATGAACCGGCTTTGCTGGGGGGCCAGACGGACGGCTGCGAAACTCGGGAGACAGACATCCGCCCAAACAGGGGGAACCGGTTTGGGCAGGGGCTCCGAGAGCGTTCCCGCCTGCGCATGCGCCCTCTCCCTCGGCCACAGCTCCCCCTGCCCCCAATCACGGCTCCCCTCAGAACCCGGCTCGTTGAGGGAGCGGAGGGCAGTCTAGTCCGCCTAGCCCTGCGGGATGAGAAAACAGCCTGGCTCCCAGCAGGGGCTGCCGGAGGACCCTCCGCGGGCTTGGCAGATAGAAGAGGATGAGGAGGAGAAACGCGGCCCTACCCGAACCACCGTCTCCCGCTCCGCTGCCCGCCGTTCGCTGCCCCCGAGGCTCCGCCGCCTGGGCCTCCCCAGCAGCCCTACCCCCGCTCTCCTCCCCCTACTCACGTGAGAGCAGCCCCTTCCGCCCTCCGCCCCGCCTCATAGGCCCACGGCCGTACCCAGCAGCCCCATTGGTCCAACAACAGGCGGCGAGGGCGTACTTCCCTTCCTTTAAGCCCCACCTGACGTTTAGTCCCCCTCGGGAGTCTGCGCCTGCGCAGAGCCTGCACTCAGAGAGCTCTGCGGGCTGCTGTGCTCAGAGTCGGGGCTTCGATTGGCGGTGGCTGGGTGACTGCTTCAGGGATTGGAAGCAAGACTGCCGGGAGGGGCAGGCCGTTGCCTCTATGAGCGGGGGTACAACTGCAAAGACTACTGGTGCTAGCAAGGAATCCCTTGCTCCCTTTTCATGTTCAAGTGCTGTTTCAAAAGCAGCCCTTTATAGTGTTTCTCAACTCACCTGGCCTATGCTGAGGGCGCACAACGTGTCAGAGATTGTGATAGGTCCTTATATGGGTGGGTATCTCATTTTAGCATTCCCACAAACCTGAGAATAGGATTTCTTTTTTCGTTTTATAATGAGTTCTACCTAAGTAACAGAATTCAGTCTAGAAGTCAAAACTTCTGACTACAAAACAGCTACCTGGAGGTATTTGAGACGTAAGACAAAAAAGAACAAGATGGTTTCAGAGTGTTACTCAAAGATGGGGCTGGGATTTTATTTGGAAAACATTCAAATAGTATACAGAGTAAGGGCAATATAATGAAGTTTATAGTCTTTTTCCTAAATAAATTTATAAGGTGGACGGTAACAAAAACTGATCAAAGGGCTACTGAAGTCTTGATAATTTAAAAAATATTTCTACAGCCAATTCCTTAACCTTCCCCCTTTCTTTATTCAAATAACATAAGCTCTTTTCCTGGTGAATGAGTCATTTACAATGTTTTCCTGTAGATATTGCATCCATATCAACCAGGGAAAGGGCAAAAAACCTGTGCTCTTTTGCAGTCCTGTCTATTACAATAGACTTGGCTTCACTGCCACAGGAAAATAGCTTTGTTCCTTTTCTCCTTATACAGTTACATAATAGTAATACACACCCATTTTAAAGTATTCAAATAATTAAGGATCAGGAAGAAAGTAAAATCCCATGAGATAACAGATAAAATCACCTTTTTAATTTTGGTGACATACATTCTTGTATTCCTTGGTTCATATACATACCCCAGATATATATGTAAATATTAACATTAATTTAAAAAATAAAACTTTGTAACAGAATCAATACAGTATGCCTTGGAAAAAAATAGAAAATAGTGACAAGCAAAAAGGAAAAAGGAAAAATGTCACATTTTCATCACAAATGTTAATACTTTAATGCATATCCTTCTGTGTCCATTGTTTTTCAAAAAGAGATCAGTTTAGCAATCTGCTTTATTCAAGTTAACAGTATCTAATAATTTCAGTAAATTTCCTCTCCTTTTAATTCCTAGATCACATTCAAATATTCTATCAATCTTAAAATACTTTTACATCTGGCTATCACAAATCAGTAATATCATTTCAGTAAATTTCTATCTCTTCTAATACCTAACAATAATCAGATTTTCTGCTATTTGAAATACATTGTTTTATAGCTTGTATTCCCAAATCAGTATCCAATCCAGGGCTACACATTGCATCTGGTTGCTGTGTCCCTTAAGTAGTTTTTACTCTAGCACTTAAGAAAAAAAATAAAAGATACTGGCTTACTGAAGAAATCAGGCAACATGGAGTGCAAAATTTCCCACCTTCTGGATCTAAGTGGTTGCTTCCTCAAGCGATCATTGAGTTGTTCCTCTAGACCTTGTATTTCCTGGAAAGGAAGTTGTATCTCAAAGCTCACTGGATTGATGTGGTAAGCTGGAGCCAGAATGCAAAGGTTCCTAAGGACTAAAATAAGGAAAATGAGCTTCAAGCTATAAACACAGGGGTGCCCTTTAAGGGTTTTAAGGACAATGTCAATACCAGATTTGAATGTTTTTAAAAGATCATTCTGGTAGGAATAGAGAAGGCAAAACAGGGAGTAAATGGAACAATTTGGAAGCTTCCTAAGAATAGAAAGGCTTGAATTAGGGCAGGACAAAGGAGGGGATAAAAGAACAGGGTTTGAGAGGTATTTTTAAAAGAAGTATCTTCATGTTTGCCCATTGTTTCTCCTGTCTGCTCAAATTTGATTTTGAAACCCCTCTAGTGAATTTTTCACTTGTTATACTTTTCAACTTCAGAATTTCATTTTGGTTCCTTTTATAATTTCTCACTCTTTAATGATATTCTCATTTTTTCATACATTGTTTTCTTGACTTCATCCCTATTTTCTTTTAGCTCAGTAAGCAACTTCCAGACAGTTGCTTCAAAGTGTTTGTCTAATATATCAGACATCCAAGCTTTCCCAAGGATGGTTTCTACTGACTTACTTTGTTCCTTTGAATGGGCCATAGTTCCCTGTTTCTTTATATGCCTTTTGGGTTTTGTTGAAAAATGAATGTTTGAATCTTATAATGTGGTAAGTCTGGAAATAGATGCTTCCTCTTCCCCAGGGTTTGTTTTTTTTTTTATTGTTTAAGGGTGTCTCTGTGCCAGGGATCAGTATCAGCCTGAGGTGAAGGCTTGGGATCTCCTCAGGTGTTTTCTGTACCTGCATCTTTTCCTGGTTATATATAGTGGTTTTCTAATTTTCTCCATAGAAGTGGCTGATTTGGAATGTTCAATCTTTAAATGTCTGGCTCCCCAATTAGGGTAAAAGGGGAAAAACAAACAAACAAACAAAACAGGTGCTGTTCCTTTAAATCCCTGGAAGCCAGTTCAGCAAATGAGGATTGACACAATGGCAGCCAGCTTCTATGCCTGCACCTCAGAACTTTTCCCATCCTAGTTCCAGCAACCACACCAGGAATGTGAACATGGCTGTCTGTGGTAGGAGATAAGGACGGAGTATCACACTAAAGGCTGACATTGACTGAAATTAGCCTCAATTAACAACCAAACTTTCCCCTGAAAGATGCCAAATGTTCAAATAAACTTGGAGATATTGTGGGTTTAGTTCCACACCACTGCAATAAAACAAATATCACAACCAAGCAAGTCAAATGAATTTTTTGGCTTCTCAGTGCATATAAAAGTTACATTAACACTGTATCATACTCCATTAAGTATACAATAGCATTATGTTTCAAAAACAATGTACATACCTTAATTTAAAAAAATACTTCATTGCCAAAAAATGCTGAGCTTTCAGTGAGTCATAATCACTACCACAGATCACCATAACAAACACAGTAATAATGAAAAAGTTTGAAACATTACAAGAATTACCAAAATGTGACACAGACACACAGAGTGAGCAAATGCTGTAGGAAAAATGGTGCCAACAGACTTGCTCAATGCAACGTTGCCACAAACCTTCCATTTGTAAAAAATGTAGTATCTGCAAAGCTCAATAAAGCGAAGGGAAATAAAGCCAACCACAGTATAACAAGGTATGGCTATTGATTCTAGAATTCCAAAATAGTTACTTTAGACAGTTTCTGCCAGTACAGTTGTCTAGAAGACAGACAGATTCCTTGTGCTTCCTACTCCATCTGAGGAACAGAAAAACAAAGAATGAAGAAATGTGAACAGTAAACAGAGCTTAAGGAATCTGTGAGATAGTCAAAAACAACATACCACTGTGGGAGTCCCAGTAGGAGAACAGAGAAAAAATGGAAGACTAATAATCAAAATGCATAAAGCTAAAGAAAAGAAAGGATCTTGAAAGCAGTAAGAGAGATGTGACCCATCACAAACAAGGAATTCTCAGTAGGATTGTTAGTCACTTTCTCATCCTAAACCTCGGAGGCCAAAAGGCAATGGGTTGATAATATTCAAAATGCTGAAAGAAAAAAATGGTTGACAGAGAATTCTATATATGGCAAAACTGTCCTTCAAAAATGAAGGAGAAATTAAGACATTCTTTGATTTTAAAAGTGTGAAGGGAGTTAATTATTACTAAACAGGCCCTTCAAGAAATACTAAAGGGAATTCTTCAGGTTTATATGAAAAGATGCTTAACAGTAATGTGAAGCCATATGAATAATTAAAGTCCTCCAATAAAGGCAAATACATGGGCAATTATAAAAGTATTAACAATTATTAAGTAAGTTATAAACATTAACATACTTAGTAAGAGACTCTCAAAATATACTAAGCAAAAATGACCTGAATTAAAAGGAGGAATCAATAATTCTACAATAGCTGGAAACATCAATACCCCACTTTCAAAAATGAGTAAAAACAACCAAACAGAAGATATGAAGAAATAGAGGACTTGCACATCACAATAAACCAACTAGACCTAACAGGCATATATAGAACATTCCACCCAACAAAGGCAGAATACACATTCTTTTCAAGTTCTGGACATTCTCCAGGATGGTCCATATACTAGGGTACAAAACAAGTTCCAACAGATTTTAAAAGATAGACATCAAACAAAGTATATTCTCCAACCACATGGGATGAAGTTAGAAATCATTAACAGAAGGAAAACAGGACAATTCACAAATATGTGCAAATTAAACAACATACTGCTGAACAACAAAAAGAAATTAAAAGGGATAACAGAATATACTTAGAAATGAATGAAAATGATAACATACCAACACACAGGATGCAATGAAAGCAGTGATGCAGAGGGAAACTTAATAGTTGTAAATGGTAACATTAAAAAAGATCTCAAAATACTACTAACTTTATACCTTATGAAACTAGGAAAAGAAGAGCAAACTAAACCCAAAGCTAGTAGAAAGAAGGAAACAAAACAGATTAGAGTGCAGATAAACAAAGTAGAGAATGGGAAAACAGAAAAAAATTTAGAAAAAAAAAATCAATGAAACTGTAAGTTGTTTATTTGAAAAGATTAACAAGTTAACAATGATAAACCAACAAAGACAAAAGAACATGCAAATAACTAAAGTCAAAAAGAAAAGTAGGCTATTACTTCAGACATTCCTGAAATAATGAGGATTAGAAAAGAATACT